TTAAACAAGAGCTTGGTGCTGCTTCTGGGTATAAAGCAAGGTGGAGGGCCGGATTCAGCCCAAGGGACTTGTGTTTGCCACCTGTGCTTTAGATGTCTGACTAGGATAGAAGCAGTATATCCTGGCCCAAGTCTAAATGAGTAGAATATTTGCAAGGTAACAACAGTATATTTCTGAGATGGAATCTAATTGCATTTCCTGGACTGAAATTCACCCAAACTGAACTTCCAAACCTCTGGATCCATTTCTTTTTCCCACCAGCTTTATTGAGAAGGGGACCCCTGAAAAAATGAAATTGCCTTCTGGAGGGTGGGCCCCTTGTAGTACAGCCTTCCCCTGCTAGGTGAGTATTCTAGGTACCCATCTGTATTAGTGTGCCATCAGGCATTGTTGTAGGAAGCTGCATTTGGCTTTAGTGAATTTTTTTTAATACTCTTTCAATGGCTTTGTCCATTTCATGATGGGTGATTTACCAGTACACCTGCCACACCATGCTGAATGTTCAGCAGTTTTTGACCAAAACAGCATGACCCCTATGTCCCAACCTCCCTATTTACCTGATCTCACCCAAGAGACTTTTTTTTCTTTCCCCTATGAAAAAAGTCCTCAAAGGGAAACATTTTGTCATTGTGGAAGAAGTAAAACAAATGGCAGAAGCACTAAAAGGCATCAAACTCAACGCGTTCAAAAACTGTTTTGAGCAGTAGAAAAAGTCTCAATAGGTATATTACATCAAATGGAGAGTACTTTGAAGATGATTAAAGTTTAAACATGTAAGAATAAATATATAATTTTTAAAAGATTTTATTTATTTATTTTTAGAGAGGGAAGGGAGGGAGAAACAGAGAGAGAAAGAGAGAGAGAGAGAGACATCAATGTGCGGTTGCTGGGGGCCGTGGCCTGCAACCCAGGCATGTGCCCTGACTGGGAATCGAACCTGCGATACTTTGGTTTGCAGCCTGTGCTCAATCCACTGAGCTACACCATCCAGGGTATAATAAATATATAATTTTTATAAATAAATTCTGTTTTTCTGGGTCCCCACTTGTATAATTGACATAAAACATTGTGTTAATTTTAAGGTATACAATGTGATTATTTAATAGTATAGATATACAGTGGATTGATTACCACAATAAACTTAGTTAACACATTCATCACTTCACATAGTTGCTTTTGTCCGTGTGTCTGTGTGTTGTGAGCACACTTAAGATCTACTCTCTTAGCATCTGCAAGTATATAATACAGGACTATTAATTATAGACAGCAGGCTGTGCATTAGATCCCTAGAAAGTATTCACCTTGTAACTGGGAGTTTGGACCCTTTTGCTTACATCTTCCTATTTCCCTCAACACCTAGCCTCTTACAACCATCAGTCCAATCTCTGTTTCTGAGTTCAGCTTTCTTATTTTACACATGTAAGTGGGTTCAAGCAGTATTTGCCTCTCTCTGCCTTATTTCTCTTAAATTTTGCAAACAAATTAATCCTTCAGCCTGAATTTTTTGAGCACCTACTAGATGCTAATTATTTTAATAGGTGCTTTAGGGGATTCAGAAATATAAGATACACGAAGTTGCATGTTTTATTCCAAAAAGTTACAATTTTATTGGTAAGTAATATATATACACAACACACACATTTACACCCACATATATATGTATATATAACACAAAGAATAAGAGAATATATTAGTGGAAAGAAAAAATGGACAGTGAGAATTATAAAACCTTACTTAGAGTTCTAATTCTACTCATATTAGTTTTTCACGGCTCTGCAGACTTGTTTCCTTATATGTGTAAACTAAGAGAATTATACTAAATACTATCTACACACTCTTTGCACTCTGTGTTTTTAAATGGAATATCAAGGCCCTGACTAGGTTGCTCAGTTGGTTGGAGCGTCAGCTCAATACACCAGGGTTGCAGGTCTGATCCCCAGTCAGGACACACACAAGAATCAACCAATGAATGCATAAATAAGTGGAACAGCAGATTGCTGTCTCTCTCTCTCTCTCAAATTAATAAATAATTTTAAAAATAAATAAGTCTAATATCAGTTTGTTACACACAGTTCAATACATTATTTACTCATTATCTGTAATACTGAAAAACTAAATCATGATGTAGAAACTCAGATGGGGGAAGTCATGGCAGATATCACCCACTGAGCAAGCTAAAAAGCCTTAAAGGATATCAGAAAGGAGAAGGTAGCATTATAAGATGAAGGGGACCACGGAAACAGTGGTGCTGAGAGGGAATGAGCACAGTGTGAGGAAGTGAGGGGTGGGGGGCCAATAGCAAGAAACCAGTGTGGGACTTGCACAGAAGAGGCACTAACTAGCAAGGATCTGGACTGAAATTAGCCCCTGGCAGGAGCCTGGGGTTCTTTTGGGAGTATTGAAGAATAGGATTAGACAGATAAATGGTAACTTTATGATGGGTTATGGACTTCACAGGTAGAGGAGCTACTACTTTATTTACTGTAACTGGGGAGCACTGTCATTTAAGAGCATTGCAATTCATCCATTCATTCAGTAATGTTTACTGTGCTCTTTATGCTAGGCACTATTCTCAGTGCTAGAATATAGGAATGAACACAACAAAGTCCTTGCCCTCATGGAGCTGTATTCTAGTGGGGAGGAGATAATACACAAGATCAATAACTAAAATACAGAGCATTTCAGAGAGCAGGAAGCACAAAGAGAAACTTAAATGAGGAGTTTCCATTTTAATGGGGTGACTGTGAAAGAATTTACATGATAAAGATTTATATGGCTGTTACAATGAATAGAATCAACAGGACTGAGAAGTCAGAAATGAATTACAATGGGGTTCAGAGTGATGGTGAAGGAAAAGACAGTAAACAGTGAGTGGAAGAGGCAAATGTCAGAGAATTTGTTGAGGAAGAATCAATAGAAGTGATGGCCACAAATGTAAAAGATATATAGGAAGGAGAATAGTAAAAGCTCAAGACTTAAAACATGTTATCAGGAAATGAAAAACTTGGGAAAAGAAATTGGCTGAGAATAAGAAATGTTCAATTCTTAATGTAATGAAGGAGTATATGATGTACAGGTTGAATTCTCGAACTTTTAATGGAAGGTTGAGACTGAAGATTTAAATTTCGAAGCAATATATTGAGTTGATATAATACTGAGGTGAAGACCAAAAGTCAGCTCAGAAATTCTGTGATCTGATTTGAAGTAGGTAGTAATCAGGATCCACAGAAACACGTCTCCCTTATTCATACTTACTGCAGAAGCCTGCTGACTGAATTTATACTTAGCCACATCACCCCAGTTCCCTCCCTTTGTGTCTACTTATATATGCATAATCAAATATTCCATTTATTGAATATTTCCCAATGGGGCAAAAAATCTTTTAAAAGGATAACAAGGGAATATTATGAATGACTTATGGCAATATATGTGGTAACTTAGATAAATCTGACAGATTTTTAGAAGACACAGAGTACTAAAATTCTCAAGGGAAATAGAGAATCTGATAGTCTATATCTATATATGTAAATGAATTTATAGTAAAAGTCCTCCAACAAAGAAAACTCAGGCCATAACATCACAGAAACCCTGCCAAACATTTAAGGCATAAACAATACCAATTCAACACAAACTTTTTCAGAAAACAGGGAAGGAGGGAACAATTCCCAACTCATTTTACAAGGCCAGTATTGCCCTGATATCAAAAGCAAACAAATTTAAGAAAAGAAAACTACAGACTAACATCACCTATAAATAAAAATATTTAATAAAATACTTGCAAATAAAGTCCAACAAATATAAAAAAGATAATAAATAATGGGAATTATCCCAGGAATGCAAGACAAGTTTACCATTCAAAAATAAATCAATGTAGTTCACCATATCAATAAGCTAAACAGCAACAACAATAAAAATCCATTTGATTATCTCTGTAGATTTAGACAAAGTATTTAACAAAATTCAACTTATACTCATGGTCAAAAGTCTCAGTGAAATAGGAATGGAAGGGAACTTCCACAACCTAATGAAGTACCATATGTCCTCATTATATATATGAAATAAACAGTGAAAGAAAGAATTCTTTTTCCCTAAAACTGGAAACAAGTGTGTTCTTTTTTATCACCTCTATTCATTACCACACTAAGGGATCCAATCAATGCAATAATGAATATAATTAATTAACTAATGAATTAAAATAAATAAAAGATATAATATAAAGAATCAGAAAGGAAATAATAAAACTATCTTTATTCACAGACAACATGATTGTCTATGTAGAAAACACCAAAGAATCTAGTTTTAAAAAGGCTAATAGAACTAATAAAAGAGCTTAACAAAGTTGTAGGATACAAAGTCAATATATAAGCTCAATTGTGCTTCTATATACTAACACTGAACAATTAGAAATTGAAATAAAATGCCAGCATCATTACAATAGCATCAAAAAACATAAAACACTTATAGATAACTCTAACAAAATATACGCAAGATTTGTATACTAAAAATGTAAAACATTGATGAAAAATCAAAGAACACTTAAATAGTGATATAGCATGTTTATGGATTGGGCTATTCAAGACTAAAACATAAGTTCTCCCAAGATTGATCTATAGATTAAATGTAATCCCAATCAAAATTCCAGCAGGCATGTGTGTGTGTGTGTGTGTGTGTGTGTGTGTGTGTGTGTTTGGAAATTGACAAGCAGCTCTTGAAATTCACAGAAATAGGAAGGACCTAGAATAGATAAAACAACTTGGACAAGAATAACAACCCATACCTTACACCACATAAATTTATTTAAAATGAATCTCAGACCTAAATATATAATGTAAAATGTAAAACTTCAAAAGAAAAGACAGGATAAAACCTTTGTGACTTTGAATTAGACAAAAATTCTATAGGACATAAAAAGCACAAACCATAAAAGAAAAAAATTATAAACTGGACTTCATCAAAATTTAAAGTATCTGCTCTCTGAAAGATACTGTTAAGAATATATATGTCTCCGAGCTGGGTAAGGTTGCACCTGGTTTGCTGATGCTGGTCTCACATTAGCCAGGAACAAGGTAAGTCCTTGTGTATCCCAGCTTGGCTTTGGTCTGTGCACATGCCTGATTCATGCCCTAGACACATGGCAAAAAGAAAAGGAGAGGAAAATGTATAAATAATGCAGGCTTAAAAAACATTTTCAAAATATATATCTGACAAAGATTTATATCCAGAATATTGTTTAAATGATCACGATTTAATAAGAAGACAAACAATAATATGGACCAAATATTAGGCTCGACATTATATCAGAAGATATTCTGAGGGCAAGTGAGGACATGAAAGCTCAAAGTCATTAGTCACTAGAGAAATCAAATTACAACCTTAATGAGATAATATATACAATTATTAGTGTAGCTTTTTAAAACTAGCAATAACAAGTGTTGGTGAGGTTGAAAAACTGAAACTCTGATATATTGCTGGTAGGGATGTGACATGGTATATCCCTTGGGGAAAGCGATTTCGAAGTTTCTGATAGCATTAAATGTAACACTCACCATAAACCCAGCAATCCCATTACTGGGTACCTATGTATGAGAAATGAAGACATGCCCACACGAAGACTTCTACACAAATATTTACAGCAGCTTCACTCATAGTCTCCCATAACTGGGAACAGCCTAAACCAGTGAGTGTCTAAGTGAATTTTGGTTTAGCTAAACAATTTAATCTTACTTAGCTATAAAAATCAAATGGACTATTGATACATTTGACAACTTTGAATGAATCTCAGAAGCATTATAAGTAACAGAAGCCAGCAGACACAGGAGGCTATGTAGTATATGGTTCCACTAGTGTGGCATTCTATAAAAGGCATAACTATAGGACTAGAAATCAGATTAGTGGTTGCCTAGGGGCTGGTGGGGGAGGGAATTGATTATGATGGAGCAAGAGGGAATTGTTTAGGGTGATTGAAATATTCTGTATGTTGATTTTAGTAGCAGTTATAAAACTACACATTTTGTCAAGACTCATAGTAATACACATCTAAAAGGGTGAATTGAAAATTTTACTCTGTAAATTTAACCTCAACTAACCTAAATTTTAAAAATTATATTATAAAAGATAATATAAAGTTAAAAGACCAGTAATTAAACAAAGCCAAATAAATCAAAACTGTACAGTGAAGAATTTTCATTTTGCTGTATTTAGTTTAAAATAGCAACTTATCTTTGACTACAAGCCCTTCAGTGCACACAAACACATCTTTTTACAATGAATTACCACATGCACAAGTTAGAACTTGCTGATTCCTGCTCTGCCACCAAACCTACGTACCAACCTGCATCTGTACCCGCCCTCTCCTTCCTTCCCTGCATAGTGGAGGGTGTGTTCCGTCTCACGTGTAGAGCTAACCTCACCAGCTGTACTCTCAATCCCAGTCCCTTCTGCCATCTCAGGAACCTCAGCTATCCTTCTGGGGTTTTTTATGTTCAATTTCTCCCTCTTTACTGGACTCTTAATAGTATTTGAATGGGCTCATTTTTCCCCATATTTAAAACCAAAATATTCCCTCTTGACCCAATCTCCCCCACTAGCAACTGCTCACTTTCCTCTCCTTTAAGCTGAACTACTCCAAGAAGTTGCTTTCACTCACTGTCTCCATTCATTCCCTTCCCCACATCACTCCTCAGCGCACTCCAGTCTGGCTTTGCAGCATCACACTGAAGTGTTGTTACAGTTACCGATGACCTCCATGTTGATAAATGTAATGGGCATATTTCAGTCCTCACCTTTCTTGACTTTTCAGCAGCATTCAGAGTTATTAACCATCCCTGTTCATTGAAATATTCTCCTCTCTTTTCTTCCCATCTCATACTGCTGCTTGGCCCCCTGGGCCAGATCCCCCTCTTTTATGTTGGCATTTCTCAAGGCACTGTCCTAGCACCTCCTCTTCTTTGACTCTGTACTTTTCCCTACGATCTCATCAACCCCTCACTTCAGGTGCCATCCAAATGCTGATTACACATACCCACTTTCTAATCCATATTTTTTCTCTGAATGCCATATTCATTGATCACATCACCTACCTCACAGCTGACACCAAACTCAAAATTCCCCAAATTAAAGTCTTCTCTACCTTTCTCCAGACTTGGTCTCTGCCTCTCAATGCCTATCAGTCAATGTCTCTACAAGTCCTATAGTTGTCTGGGCTAGAAACTTCTAAGTTACCTCTGTTTCTGTCTTTTTTTTTGCCCTAAATCCAATGCACTTGGAAGTTCTGTTTACTCTGTTTTCAAAACATGTCCTGAACCGAGCTACTTCACCACGCCTCTGCTGTTGTTACTCTTATCCAAACTTCAGTCATTTTCTTCCCACCACTAAAATGGTGTCGTAATAGGTTTCCCTGAACCCACTTTGCTCCCCTCTGAGCCATTTTCTGTGCAACCAGAGTATTTCTTTTTTAAAAGTGTAAATTTTATCATTTCACTGTTTTCTTGAAACTCTTCAGAAACTTCTAACTTCCCATCGTTTTAGTGAACAAAAACAGAATCCTTTATATGGCCTGTAAGTGTCTGCCTGATTGGGTCCTTTTCTGTGTTTTCAGCCATATTTTGCATTCTTTTCCCCTTTGCCCCTTCAACAAGACTGGCCTTTCAGTGCCTTAAATGATTTATGCTGTCTCATCGTGGGGCCTTTGCACATGCAATTGCTTCTAGTTTCTGAGTAGGATAACTTGTGCGTGCACAGGGGCACACACACACACCTTGTTTTGTTCTACACATCCTTCAAACCCCAGTTTAAATTGTTTTTCCTCAAAGACATCTTCTCCAATCTGCAGCCTTAACTACATCATGACTACACTACACATTATTATGTTTTCTGTACTTTTTCTTCAAAGCACTTAACTCTGTTTATAATCATGTCCCTGTGGTATTGTTTGTTATCTGTGTCCCCCACTATGCTAAAAGGCCTGTGTCTACTTAAGTGAATGTCACAGCACCTTTATTTGCATCATTTTCTGGCACATAATCAAAGAAGAGCAGCGAATATTAACACAGAAAAAGATTATACGTGTTACATGAGAACTCCACAGGGAAAGACTTGAGAGCTATTCGACTGGCTCATGAGTGTGTAATCACACAATTTAAGATACTAAGCTATAGAAATCTATCTAAGCAAGCAGGTGGTACCTTAAGCAAATGATGCCCTAGTGTGTTGCCCATTTTACTGAATGGGAAAAGGTTCCTGCAGCCACTGGGGGCACCAGCCAAGGCAGCCTTCACTCATGCTCTTTAGGGTCCTCAAGTCACTGTTTTTTCCACTCACTGCTCCTGTTGGGGAATAACACCCTCCTTCCAGGTTGAAACAGCTGGGAAAGCTGGGGGCTGTGCTAGGTTTGACCCTCGGGCCCTTAATCCATTTTCAAAGCAGAAGGTAGGACTTCACTTTCCATCCTTGGGGCTTTGCTTTATATTGGGACTTATTCGGATATTATTACCTAATGGGATTTCTTTTTTTTATTCTTTATAAAGTTAAATATTCAAGACAAAATATAGTTGTAATATAAAACCAAACATTGTTTTTTAATTATGTTTTATTATGATATTACAGTTGTCCCAATTTTCCTCCTTTGTCCCCCTCCACCCATCACTCCCCTACTCCTTTAGGCAATCCCCTCACCTTTGTTCATGTCCATGGGTCATACGTATTAGTTCTTTGGCTACTCCACTTCCTACATTGTACTCTACACCCCCATGCCTGTTGTAACTACCTATTTGTACTTCTTAGTCCCTTCACCTCTTTACCCATTTCCCCAAGCCCCCTCCCATCTGGCAACTATGAAATCTCTCTCCATGTCTATGATTCTGCCTCTGTTCTTCTTGTTAGCTTAGTTTGGTTTTTTATTCAATTGTTAATAGATATGTATTTATTGCCATTTTATTGTTCATAGTATTGATCTCTTTTTTCTTAAATAAGTCCCTTTAATATTTCATATAATAATGGTTTGATGATGATGAACTCCTTTAGTTTTTCCTTGTCTGAGAAGCTCTTTATCTGCTCTTGGATTCTAAATGATGGTTTTGCTGGGTAGAGCAGTCTTGGCTATAGGTCACTGACTTTTATGTCCTTGAGTATTTCTTGCCAAGCCCTTCCAGCCTGCAAACTTTCTTTTGAGAAATCAGCAGGGAGTATTATGGGAACTCCCCTGTAGGTAACTAACTGCTTTTCTCTTGCAGCTTTTAAGATTCTCTCTTTATCTTTAAACTTTGGCATTTAATTATGATGTGTCTAGGAGTGGGCCTCTTTGCATCCATCTTGTTTGGGACTCTCTGTGCTTCCTGGACTTGCATGTCCTTCACCAAATTAGGGAAGTTGCCTTTTCCTATTTTTCAGATCGATTTCCAGTTTCTTGCTCTTTCTCTTCTTCTTCTGTCATCCCTATGATGCAAATGCTGGACCTCTTGAAGTTCTTCTGGAGGTTGCTTATACTATCTTCTCTTTTTGGGGGGACTCTTTTTTCTTCCTTTTGTTCTGCAAGGTTGTTTTATGCTTCCTTGTGTTCCAAATCTGATTTAACTCTCCACTTCATCCACTCTACTGTTGTTATCCTGTATGTTGTTCCTTATTTCAATTAGTGTATCCTCCATTTCTGAGTAGATCTTTTTTTATGACATTGAGGTCCTTATTAAGTTCCTTGAGCATCCTTATAACCAGTGTTTTGGACTCTGCATCTGTTTAATTGCTTATCTCCATTTTGTTTATTTCTTTTTCTGGAGTTTTGATCTGTTCTTTCATTTGGGCCATGTTCCCTTGCCTACTTATTTTGGCAGCCTCCCTGTGTTTGTTTCTATGTACTAAGTAGAGCTGCTATGACTCCCTGTCTTGGTAGCATGGCCTAATATAATCGGTGTCCTATAGGGTTCAGTGACACAGCCTCCCTTATCACCCAAGCTGCTTACTTGAGGTGTATCCTCATGTGAGTTGAGTACACCCTCCTCTTGTATTTGAGCTTTTATTGCTGTTGGCAGGTCAATGGGAGGGATTTACCCAGGCCAGTCAGCTGCAAGAACTGGCTGTGACCACTGATCACCAACCTCTGCCCTCTGTGGAGGATCAGCTGTGCAGGAGCAGGATGGTGGTG